TGCTCGCACTCCATGCACGTTGGACCCCTGCTGACCGATCCAGTTCACTCCGAGCAGGTCCTGGTTGGAGGCCGTCGGCTCGATGTCGTAGTGATCCGCATCCGCAATGTACACCGCGTACAGGCCAGGGGTGAAAGTAGACGTTGCCGTAATGAGGAGTTCATGCCACAACTCAGCCCCTGGAGCATCATATCTCACTAGAACATAATGCCCAGCAAGTGCCATCACTTCCGAAGAAAGTCCAGCTGCGCCCTCGCGGCCTTAGCCAACTCCGCCTGTTGTGTCTGATTCGTCCCTCGCACGCGTCCGACCACGTAACCCACACCCCCTCCGATGAAGAACTGCAACACGATCAGGAAGATGAAGAATTCCAGGTCCAAGCAAACTCCCTCTGAACAATCCTGGCTGACCACTCCTGCGACCTTCTCCGCAGGTCCGAGAGGCACCGCGTCACGCAGAGAGATGTTGCACACACAGTCGGGGCACGGTGGGCAGGCTGGGATCAGCGGGTATTGCAGACTCGGCTGCAGATGAAAGAGCAGAAACCAGTTCCCCGCGAATCGAGCGGCCTCGCGAACGCTCTCTCGGATTGCCGAAACCTCCAGAATCCCCATCAACCGGTGGGCAGGATGTTCGTAAGCCCAAAAGAGAACTACAGAGGATACACCTGGCGCTCAACCACTGCTACTCATCATGAAGGTGCACGCGCAGATCATCATCATCATCATCATCATCATCATCATCATCATCATCATCATCATCATCATCATCATCATCATCATCATCATCATCATCATCATCATCATCATCATAATAATCATAATCATCATCACCATCACCATCACCATCACCATCACCATCACCATCACCATCACCATCACCTTCACCACCACCACCACCATCATCATCATCATCATCATCATCATCGTCATCATCATCCCGTGCGCGGCCCCGCAGGTCTTCTGGGTCTTTCCAAATTCTCGGAGTTCGAAGAGTCCCAAACATTGTCGGAACCTTTCGGGTGTTCCTGGTCAGGGAGGAGGACGAGGGAGAAGCAGGAGAAGGAGGACCGACGACGGCGATTAGGAGGATAGAGGACTCATCATGGAAGATGGAGGATCGAGCAGGAAGATGACGAGAAGGGGGAAAGGAGGAGGGGATGGCAGGAAAGATTAAGGGAACGAGAAAGGCCAAGGACTTCCATGCTCGCCCCTCCTTCTGCCCACCGTCCTGACCCTGCGTCCCCACCTTCCGCTCCCCTCCCACCCCGCCCTTCCCTCCTCCCGTCCCCTCGTCCTCCCGCTCCTTCGTCCCTTCTGCTCCCGCCTCTCCCCTCACCCGCCCTGCTGCCGCCCATCCTCCCAGCCCCCCTGCACAAACACTCTTTCCGCCAGCCCCTCTTTGTGCTCCTCCCCGGTTACCCTCCCTCTCGCCCCATGTCCCCTCGCTTGTCTGCAGGATTGCTCCGTGTTCCTGCTTCTCCCTGTTCGCCCACCCATTCCATCCTTCCTTTTCGCCCACCTCTTCCATAATCCTCATTTCCTCCTCGTTCCTCCCTCATACTCCTCCTCAACCTCGTCTTTCTCCAACTCCATTCCTTTTCCTTGTAAGCAACTCCTCCCTGTCGCACCACTGGACGTGTCTGGAGGCCAGGCCATGCGTTTCGCTTGAGGCTGCCTCGCCAATTATGATCCTACAGCTTGACATGTGCAACAGCTTCAAGGATAGAGGATGGAGCCTGGGTGGTTTTCAAAATGTGGCTCTCGACTTAACGCGGCGCACACTCGTCATAAAACCTTTCAACCGCCTCAAGGACAGAGGACGGCTCGTTTACACATGTGGCTCTCGCTTTTGCGCGGCGCACACTCGTCTTAAAAACTTGCAACCACTTCAGAGATGGAGACCAACTCTTTTTCAATATGTGGCTATCGCTTTAGCGCCGTGCACATCCATACGACCCAACCCTCACCATCCGATGCAAAACATATTATTCGGTGCGCACGCTTCCGACCCAACCATCGCCATGATATGCAAAATGCAATCCGCCGACTCCCGCTTGCTCAGGGTTTGATGAAGCGGGGTAATTTTATTCTTGGTCCTCGTTTGTGTCACATTGATGTCCCCTCCCTTCTTTTCCCCTCCCCCAAGGGCCAAAACCAATTAGTGGGGGAGGGGGGAATGTGGGAGGGGGACAGTCAAATGTTTCACACGCCCGCTTCACCCTGAGCCGGGGAGTCGGCGGCTTGATTTTGCTTAATATGGCGATGGTTGGGTCGGAAGCGTGCGCACGATTAATATGTTTTGCATCGGATGGGGAGGGGTGTTTGTCGTATGGATGTGCACGGCGTAAAGCGATAGCCTCATATTGAAAAAGAGTTGGTCTCCATCTCTGAAGTGGTTGCAAGTTTTTTAAGACGAGTGTGCGCGTGCACATCCATACGACCCAACCCTCACCATCCGATGCAAAACATATTATTCGGTGCGCACGCTTCCGACCCAACCATCGCCATGATATGCAAAATGCAATCCGCCGACTCCCGCTTGCTCAGGGTGAAGCGGGCGTGTGAAACATTTGACTGTCCCCCTCCCTCTTTCCCCCTCCCCCAAGGGCCCAAAACCCAATTAGAGGGGAGGGGGGGGGGCGAGCTCGCCAACGGACCCCCGGGGCCTCGGGAGCCCCCAAAAAGTCCCAAGACAGCCCAACAGGGGCCAGACACAGCACCAAGACAGTCGAAGAGAGCGTCATGACGGCCCAGGGTCGCCTCACGACGATCCAACGTGGCTTCAAGACGACCCACGAGGCCCCCAAGGCAGCCCCAAAGCCCCTCCAGAGGATCGCCGACAGGGCTCCAAGATGCCCCAGCCAGTCCATTCCAATGGGAAAGACGTGCAGTCTCACCACGTTCGCATGCACGTTTTGACAGCGAACACGACGGCCCAAGTGGCCCCAAAAATCGTCCCAAGACGGCCCATGATGTCTACAAAAAGGCCCTTGGGCCCAAAAACAGCCCCATGGGCCCCCCAAGACGGCCACAGACAACTCCTGGAGGGCCCCAAGAGGGCTCGCAGAAAACACCAGGGGGGAATACGAATCGACATGTCGAGCCTTTCCCACTGAAATGGCCTTGCGAGCCCCCACGAGGCCCCAGAGGGCCCTCCAGGAGGTACCAAGAAACCTCCAATACGACCCACGAAGAAGCCCCCCAGAAGCCCCACACGAGGCCCTTCACAGCCTCCCACATGCCGACAAGCGCTCTTCAAGAGGCCTCAAAAGAAGCATCCCAAGAGACCTCAGACTAATCCAGGAGGCTCCTCACCCAAGATATACCTTCCACTTGAATAGTCGGTGTATAGCTATACGACACAACCCTCACCATCCGATGTAAATTATGAAGTTCGGCGCACAGCCATACGGCCCCGCCCTTTACACTCATTATGAAAAGGTTGGCCAGCGTGGAAACGTGATGCAATATATCCCGTGTAATAAAGGATGTGCCATCTGTGGTGAACCACCTATGTTGTGCACTCGATGTGGTCCGATCTATGTGGTGCAGTTCATATAAAGAACCAATGTGGTGCAATACGCGTTGCGCAGCACATGTTGTGCAATTTTTGTTGTGCGATCTATGGTGTGCCAAATACGTAGTGCAACACATGGTGTGCAAGGCTTGTGGACAATACGATGTGGTGCAACGTATGTGGTGCAAGCTAGATTGTGCCATAAGGGTTGGGACATATATATATATATATACACATAGACATACACCTATGCATATATGTACTCGCACAGTGTCTCAAACGGCCTTCAAGAAAACGGCGGAGTGGCAAAGCCGACGCACTATCTTGTCGACGAACTCTGTTTCAGACAAGGTGAAGCGTAGTTCCAACCAAGGCTGAATATCAGAGAACTTAGAAGCGCTTCGCGTGCCACAGCACGCTGATGGTGAAATTTACCCGCAGAGGGGACGACACCTCGACCCTAGACCGAGGGTGGCAAAAGGGTCAGGGAGGTGAACAAAAAAGGGGCAGCTGCGGACGCAACATGCAGAAGCGCTGCCATGTCCGAGGACCTTCAGTTATGCGGAAAACGCATACAAACTCACATTCGCACAGCGTCTCAAGCGGTCTTCAAGAAATCGGCGGAGTGGCAAAACCGACGCACTATCTTGCTGACGAACTCTGTTTTCAGACAAGGTGAAGCGTAGTTCCAACCAAGGCTGAATATCAGAGAACGTAGAAGCGCTTCGCGTGCCACAGCACGCTGATGATGAAACTGCCCATGCGCATAATTATGTCCAGGGTGGCGGCGGGGTAGCTGGTTGGCGAATTTGACGATGCAGGCGAAAGGCGTTCTTGAGCAGGTCCGGGAGCTGCCGACTGGCAGCGATCGCTTCCCGCCTCTGGCGGCCTGTCATGTTGTGTAACTGACGAAGAAATGTGGCATGTTTCTCATATTGCCTCACAGAGGCCGGGCGCATCCATGTGCCACGATCCTGAATCTGCTGGAGGCCGAGGGCTTTCAGGTAGGCGTCCGTAGAGGGCCCCGCATGCCGAAGACAGCGCGGCGCAATCCTGAAGTCCGGAAGCTCAAGCGCCCCACGAGCCTCTTCGATGGCTTTCTCATGGGACGCCTGTGTGAGACGACGAAAGACGCGCTCGCCGCCACGTGAAATTCCACGCAGGAAGGCGGCCACATCTTTCACAAAAGTGCGATCGAGGATGCCGATGATAAGCGTGTCATCTTGCTCGCCCGACCTGGTTCTACATGCCCTCGCGCTTGGGTGGAGGACCGAGCCCCAGTCGACATATCGAGAACCTCGCTGCCGCAACGGTGGCAGCAAATCCTCTTTCTCAACGTCTAGCAGGGCGCCCGGCCGCGCGCGGGTGCCCACCTGCAGCGCGACCGCCAGCGCGCGCCGGAAAAAGAAGACCCGGCGCATGAGCAGTAGCCGCCGTGCGATCAGCCATGGGGCCTCGATCGGGCATGGATCCCGAATGCGCCCAGACCTCTGTCGCAGCCAGCCCCCAAGTGCCACTTTGGCCCAGGGCGCGCGGCCGCCCCGTCCGAGGTGCGAGAGCCGAAGCAGTGCGTTGCCGTAGAGGGTCCACCTCCCCTGCTGGGGCTGTCCCCGCTGATCGCGCAGCCACTCGAACTAGTCCGACGTCGCAGAATCTGCCGCCCCTGGCGCGTGGAGGCCGCGGCCCCCGCCAGCTGCCCAGGCCTCGAACTCCGCGACCTCGGCCTTGTAGGTCTGCAGCGCGGCGGGCGAGTCCCTGCTCTCGACCAGGTTGCGAGGCTGAAGCGTAGGGCCGTGACGCGCAGCTGGTGGACGCGCGAGCCGCTGCCGCCTGCCTCCGACTTTCTTGGCGGCAGCGCGCAAGGGGGCGCCGCTGCTGGCCGACGCAAGCGATGAGCCGGCCTGGCGCGCGGTCGAGGTCGTCGCCGACTGCCGGGGCCGACTTCCACTCGTCAAAGCCCCTTCGCTGACGACGCCCGAGGCTTGGATCGACCGCTTATTGGAGATTGGCCGAGCCGACGACATGTCGGGCCGCGGCGCGCTGCTGATCAGGGAGGATGTGATGGCGTCGAGCGTGGGCCCGCACTAGTCGAGCTACATTGAAGCAGAATTTTGAGCCGTGCACTCCTGCGACACGAGAGGCCTGCTTCCACCGGAAAGCCTTCTTATCGTCATCCCACGCACGTAGCTTGCCTGTCACAACGGTGTGGGTGTGGTCTCCAGGGCACTGTCTGGACAGCTGTTCCAAACCTGGTAAAATGCCAACCAATCGAGTCGGTTTCTTGATCGTACCCTCGAAGCCACGCGCATGACATTCAACGACAGAGACACGTGACTCCGACAAAATTTCCATGATCGGCTAGAAGCCCCAGAGACGCGATGTGAGAGGATTCCCCAAGACAAAAACCACATTCGACTTCAGACATTCTCGAATAACATCTGACGAGAACCGCGCGCGCTGGGCCCCGAGAGGGTCCTTCTCGCGAGCAACTTCTAGAATTCTGGATCCCACGTCCAGCTACACTGACAGCACTGCGAGGGGCGCCCAGCCACGCGCGCAAAACCTGGCCCCGTTGAACAAGACCGATGATGTACTGCCTGATACAGGAGTCGAGGAGGTCATACTCAGGGCTCTTGGAAAGCTCGATGCCCTCCCCGCACGGGACGCCCAGCGAGGCCACATCATGGGCGAGGCCTTCGTTGCCCGCAAACAACTCCAAGAATATAGCTCTTCGCCTACCTCGTAGCGCGCGATTGATGTCGCAACCCTTGGCCTCGTTGGCCCCCGAGACTGGGGCCCGCGAAGGCTCGGTAGGGGGCCCGGCTAAGGTCGGGCAGGGAGCAGCTGAGCTCGCTGGGGTCCTCGAGGTTCCAGTAGAAGCCCCAATAGAGGCCCCGCAGGGCGCCGCGCCCGAAGTAGAGGGCCAGGTTGAAGTGGCCCGATGAGCACTCGCCAGGGAGAGGCTCGTAGGGGCACGCGCTGAGGCGCCTGCAGGAGGAGCCCTCGCGCTGGAAGAGCAGGCGGAGGTAGGAGCGCAGGTGGCCGCCCGAGGAGCTCGAGAGGCCCCAGAACGGTCCTGACATTTTCTCCACAGAGCGGGCGCAGCCCGCACAGCACCGGCCGCGTCGACTCGCAGCTGGCGGGCCAGGGCGCCCGAGGCGCCGCCGAGAGGGCGGCGTCGGCTAGCTGCTCGGATGATGGCCATGTCGTGACCACCTCGCTCCAAGCCGAGGTCGCGAGCCTTCGCTGTCGGGTCGGGGCCCTGGTCGAAGCGACGAGAGCCCGCGTCGGTCGGGTGGCGGGCCCCCTCGAGGCGCCGGGTCGCCCGCTGCACCTGGCGCGCGATCTGCGAAGCCGCGGCCCGCTGCCCAAGATAGCGCAGACCCAGGTTCGTCTTCTCCGCGCCTCGCCCGCGCCCCCGATCAAGGGCGCAGCGGGCGACCGGGCTGTCGGAAAGACAGAGAGAGAGAGAGAGAGGGAGAGAGAGAGAGGAGAGAGAGAGAGAGAGAGAAGGAGTGGTGAGGAGAGATGAGATGAGGAGAGTGCTGAGAGAGTGAAGTTAGCGAGCGAGAGCGGGGGAGGGAAGGGGCTGAGAGCGAGAGAAATGAGATAGAGAGAGAGTGAAAGAGAAAAAAAAACAAAATGAGATGAGAGAGAGAGAATAGAGAAAAAAGAGAGAGAGAGAGAGAGGAGGAGAGAGAGAGAGAGAGAGAGTGAGAGAGAGAGTGAACAAAAAAAAAAAAAGAAACAGAGAAAGGAGAATGAGAAAGAGAGAGAAAGAGTGATTAAGAGGGAGAATGAGAGAGAGAGAGAGAGATGAGATAGAGAGAGATGAAGAGAGGAGAGAGAGGAAGTGAGAGAGAAAAAAAAAAAAAAAAAAAAAAAAAAAAAAAAAAAAAAAAAAAATAAAAAAAAAAAAAAAAAAAAAAAAAAAAAATAAAAAAAAAATATACGGGAGGAGGGAGAGAGAGAGAGAGTGAGAGAGAGAGGGAGAGACGAGGAGAGAGAGAGGTGAGAGAGAGAGAGAGAGAGAGAGAAGAGAGAGAGAGGAGAGTGATGCAGAGAGAGTGTGTTGAGAGAGAGTGAGAGGAGTGGGAGAGATCGAGAGAGAGAGAGAGATGAGAGTTTGAGAGTGAGAGAGGTGAGAGAGAGAGAGAGGAGAGAGTGAGAGAGAGAGAGAGTGTGGAGAGGGAGTGAGATGGATGAGGAGAGAGAGAGAGTGAGGAGAGTGGAGGATGAGAGGAGAGAGAGAGAGAAAAAAAAAAAAAAAAAAAAAAAAAAGAAGAGCCGCTCCCCGCGGCAGCGGGGATTGCGGCGGGCCCGCCGCAGGCCAGCAAACATCACCCGGCCGTCCTTCGCGTCGATGCGCTCGGTCGGGCCCCCCCACTTCCGCTCGAAGAGGGTCTTCCTGCTCGGGGGGGTCCCAGCTCGGGCCCAGCGCCGGCGCCCGCTGCGGATCCTCTCGGAGGGCGCGCCCCAGCTGCGTCGGAGCTCGACGGGGCGCGACCACTTCGGGCACGTCCTGGGGCGACCTCCACGGCTCAGGCGAGCCACCCAGCGGCGAGAGACCCGCGCCGTCACAAAGCTCCAGGTGAAGCACCAGGTCGCAGCCCAAGTCCACCTGGCCCTCGACGGACCGCCAACGCTCGCGGTGGGCAGCCGACTCTCCGAGCTCTGCGTCGGGGGCGCTGGCCACCGCCAGGCAGTAGCCCAGGTCGGGCAGTGGGCCACGCGAAGCTGAGGCGCCCCGAGATCACGCTGGCAGAGGCAGACGAAGCCGAGGTTGACCTCGATCTCCTGGCGCGCCGAACCCCGCGCCACGGCGACGGTCCAGGGCGCGCTGAATGAACTGATAAACGGCCCACGGGCTAGACAGGGCAGGCCTGTTGAGCATGAAATGGCGCACCGCGTGACCGACCCAAACTCGATGTAACTCGCCGCGAAGCCGTCGTCGACCAAGCAACTCCTCACCGGCCAAATGCACCCGCCAGACTCGACGGGGCCGACGACGCAGAAGGCGTCGCCGACCATCGAATATGGCGCCCAGGTTCTCCAGCGAAAAAGATTGCTCAACCACGTCGTGCGCGCGCGAGCCTCGGTCAGAGAACTGCTGTAAAGCTCTATGTACATCGGAAGCATCGGCATTTGCACTCAGCAAGGCCGCGTTGTCCATGTAGGTCGAGGTGATGGGGTTCACGAACGAAGCTCTCGGCGCTCGCTCTTTCCCTCGAGCGGCTCGAGAGGCGCCCGCTGGCGCCTCGGCGGCAACGATATGCTCTACAGCTGGATGACATAGAAAGAGGGCCCAAGTAAAACCCATGCTAAGCGCTCTGAAGCACGGGCACACAACGTCGGAGGGCCGCGCTGGCACCATCTCCTCGAGATCGACATCCCAGACCTCGGTGACTCCGTAGACGCCGGCCTCGTCGGGATCGCCCGCCCCGAACCAGCTGGTCACGCGCCGGTTGTCGAACTGATAGCAGCCGCCCACCGCGTCCAGCGAGCTCCCCGAGAAAGGCAGCGAGAAGAGGCCTCCCTGCCCCTTGAGGAGCTCCGCCTCCTCCTCCGCGCTCAGCTCGGCATCGGCGATCTCCGAGAGCTCCGCTAGGCCGAGGGCCGCGTCCGCCAGCGAGGCGATCGCGCCAAGGTCAGTGCGAGGGGGGGGGCTTGCACTTCTCGTTGGTGGGGCGGGCATCCACGATCAGACGGGTCATCCAGGTCTTCTTCCAGACGAAAGAGAGTGATACCCTCGAGAAGATACGGCGCCTGAGGGCGATGAGCTGAAGAGCGTGCAAAGTGGCGAACCAGTCGCGGCGAAGCTTCCTTGAGCGTCGCAGGTCCGAACACCAGCACGGGGCGACCGACGCGCCTCTCGAACGGTCCGCCCCCAGCTCGCTGTCATTCTTCAAGATGCGTTTCCGGGGGCCCAAAGCCAGACGCAGCGCATCTGGGGGGTTGCGGACTCCAGGGGAAGATGAACGGTGTCGCCCTTCGTCGCCTTCAGCTTGTCGGGAAGGTAGGGCGCCACGTGTTGCGGCTCCTGCGCGTGCAGGTCTTTCGCTTCGCGCATTTCGTTGAGCGCGTCGAGCGGGGCCAGGTCCTTCGGCCGGTCGCCGCGGAGAGAGATGCGGTCATCCAGGGGCAAGGATGGACATCTGCGAAGAAGAGGCCCCGCCCGCGCTGCCCTCTTAGAGACAGCCAACGCCTGAACGTGCCCCGGCGCGATGCAGGAAGTTGAGCGAACGAACTGACTCTAGAAGACGTTGGCCTCGACGCCCAGCCCGCCCGCGCATTCCTCGCCACCGGCGCCCGGAGCCCCCGGGGGGGCCTTCGCCGGGCGGACTGGCAGAGGGAGTGGATCACCGGGCCGCCGCAGACCGCGATCGCCCCGACCGCGGCAAGCAGAACTCGGAGCCCGAAGCGACAGACTGGAGGCTCCTACCCGCGAAGAAGATGGGCCGACGAGATCAACCAGGCACTCGATCCCGCTGGGGGCCCGAGGAGCTTTAGCCCCCCTGGCCTCCGCCGCCGCGGGCGGCGCCAGTCTCGCGGCCCTCGGAATTCCCCTCGGAGCCCTCGGGGCCGCGTCTCTTCTCGCTGGCCGCCCTCTCCTCGCGCAGCAGGCGCGACTGCTTGAGAGCGAGGGCCCGCTGGTGCTGCTTCTCGGCAATCCACTTCGCGAAGTTGGGCACGGCGACCCCCCCGTCGTCCTCGGTCGTGGCAGCCAGCGCGCGCCCGAGCCCGCTGTAGTCCGGGTGCTTTGAGCCCTCCTCCACCGCGAGCTCGCGCTGGATGAGCCGCCTGACGAGCTGCTCGCCCGTCGCCGAGTCTGCCAGGTTGCGCTGATCGCGCGCGAGACCGAGGCGCAGCGCTTCCAGGACGACGCAATGGTCATGTGCGATCCCGCTGTTGGGCGACACCCCTGCCGCCGCGCACCAATTCTGATGATAGGTGTCGAACGAGCCGTCGGTGGTCTCGAAGATGCCGTCCATGTACCCTGTAACAGCACGAGGATCGGCAAAGGGAAAATCATCGAACTTCGTCTCCTCGGGCCTGCCCACGGCCTCCTTGGCTGGCAGGAAACGATTGCCGCCAGTGGTCCGGTAAGTGCCCAGG